AAATGGTGACCATGTATTAGATCCTGCTCGAAGATTTGATGATAAACCATCAGCAGGAGCCATATAAGAATATAATCGACTTGTTTCTAGAAAAACAAAAGAACCGATTCAATTAATTTTATAATTTCAAGTGATTATTTGTCTACAAACCATTCGTTACTTCAGTATGTTGAACAGAAATCGAATGATGTCTATTTGTTGTTGTACCAAGTGCTTTAAATAGAAGATGAATAATAAATAAATAAATAAATCCTAAATATTTACTTATTGATGATTTATATACTGAATCAGTAAGAGGTCGATGTTCAGCAAGATATCGATCCATACTTGTTGGTGTCAATAAATTTGTTGTTTTCGATAGAGTATCCGTATTACATGGAAATAATGAACTCGTTGATGATGTATTTAATGACCAATTTGATGTTGTTATATCAGTACTTCTTGTTGGTGTTATTGGTAATGTTGTATTAAATGTCATATTTTGAAAAGCCGTTGTTGTCGTATTTATAGGATCGAGTAAACGTCGTGGAATAAGCGGTGTTGGCGGTGGTGTTGCCTCAATAGACATTAATTTTAATGGTAATGATTTTAATCCATTTTCTATAAATTCAAAAACAAAAAAACTTAATTTATAAAAAAAAAATATTTATTTCACTTTACTTAAATTCATATCATTTATTTCGTCAATAGATGAAGAAGAAAGAGTCGTATTATTAATTGTTTCAGCAGTAAATAAAGGTTCGATTTCTTCTGGATAGAATAAATCATCATCCTCCTCATCATCATCTTGTTCTTCATCTTCATCAACAATACTTGATGGTGGTGAATAGAAATCTGTTAAACCAGTTTCATCATTGATTGAATAACCGCGACCAAGAACTGTTTCCATATTAAATTTTATGTAAACGGATATATATAGTATGAAATAGGAAAAATACTGTGATTACAAATGCACTCACACACACACGCACTATTTCTTTCTAAAATATACAATGAAATAAAAACATGTTAACTACGAATAAATTTCAGTAAGGACGTATCTTTTCTCTCTCTCTCTCTCTCTTTCTTTCCCGATTATTTATTCTCTTTCTTTTGTTATACGAAGATAGTTAAACTATAGTTATATAATAACCTTTGTTTCTGTCTATCTCTGTCTCTCTTTTCTATGAATTAAAATGAAAATTCGAAATTATGTAGAACATATTCCGAAAGAAAAGTTTATTTTTAGCGAACAACCAATAAGAAGATTACACCCTGGATAAAATTGTTAAAAG